TTCCAAATAGCAACAACAATACCAATAGCACTTAGACTTATATAGCGCTCCACGGTCCTTTACAGCCCTTTCTAAACAGTTTTACAGAGTCAGCCTATTGCCCCCAACAATTTGGGTCCTCATTTTGCTGACCTCGGAATGATGGAAGGCTGAGTCAACCTTGAGCCGGCGAGACTCAAATTGCTGGCAGCCGGCAGACAGCAGAAGTAGCCCGCAGTACTGCACTCTAACCACTACGCCCCCATGGCTCATATGCTACATAATGATAAGGCTTGTATGTTCATAGGCAAGCAGACCAGGCCCTGTGCATCTGTGTGAGTACAAGCAGGGGAATGATAAAGATTGGGAAAGACTGCTTGGGAAAGACTATATGTGAACACAAAGGAAAAAACTGAAAGCGCATTTGGACCAGACTGCCCTTTCCAGTAATCTGCTTTGCTTTGCTAAGTCTAGAAATTACACTTATATGCACAGCAATGTTTTCAGGTGAGGGCAGAATTACTCGTATTTGTTGCATTTCTATCCCACCATAATATAATAACTCTCAGTGGTTTACTAAAGGATAGAGAATTATTAAGAATTAAGGGGGTTGGACTGGAAGGCCTCCAAGGTCCCTTTCAACTCTGTTATTCTGTTAATTATATTATGCAATTGAGAAAAATAGTCTTTCATCATGGTGAAAGGGTTGGAACTTATGGCATGATTCACTTTCCTCCTTTTTTACAAAAGCCTCACGATTTGGGGGATGTCTCCATGTGTGCAGGTTATTATAAGGAACCAGGTGGCCTTTTACTAATCTGCACAAGTGAATGAGGGGTCTGGAGGTGAGAAGCCAACTTCTCAGAGCCTTTGGGCCTGCTCTTTTCTACAGCATTGCCGATTCGCATTGTGAAGCCACTGCGGGATAAAACTGTACTGGTGCGTCACAAAGCTACACTGGAATGTACAGTGTCTCAGGCTCGAGGACGTGTGCGCTGGTTTCGGGGCGACACAGAGATCTTTGCCGGCCCAAAGTATGAGATCTGCAATTTGGATTGTTACCGAACTCTGGTTATTCACGGCGTGGAGCCCGCAGATGAAGGCCTGTATACCTGTGATGCCCTGGACGATCATTCCACAGCCCGCCTGCTAGTGGAGGGTAAGGGTGTGAGTACAGTGGAGGGAGAGGAGATGAAGACAGTGCTAACGGAGAAAGGATTAGCAGGAGTTGCTGGCCGGCAACAGACTGAGAATGCCGAAGAGGCAGAAGTGGAACTAGAATTAGAATAAAAAATTGTGACCTATAGCCCAGGGTTGGCCTTCAAAAATTTTAGCAACAGGTTCTCTGCCCGGTTGCTGGGTGGGCGTGGCCATGGTGGGCGTAGCCTAGTCAGCCTCTTGCACCATGGTGGAGGGGGGACATTTTTGCTCTCCCCAGACTCCAGAGGCTTCCCTTGACCTTCCAGGAGGGTGAAAAAAACCTCCCCGGCCCCCGGAGGCTCCCTGGAAGCCAGAAATGGGCTCATTTCCAGCCTTCTCAATCTTCCGGGAGGCCCATTTTTCACCCAAGTCTCCACGCAAGCCCTGCACTTACCTGCATCCAAAACAGGCCCTGTGGGGACTCCTGGGAGGGGAGGGGCGGGACCAGCCAGGAGTGGGATTTGAGGGGTCTCCAACTGCACAGAATCTTAGCTAGGGGCTCTCCCGAACCCCTGCGAACCCCCAGCAGCCCACCCCTGCCTATATAGCTGCATGGCAGAAAGCCCTTTTTGGCAGCTGCTGGGGCCCTATTGACTTCATCACATTTTGGTGACACTTCCCTAAACTTGGCGCGGTTTCTAAACGTTTGAGAGAGCAAATAGATGACAATTGTGGCAGAAACCCTAAAACAGGATTGACAATTTTAAATAAATAAATGTGTGAAGATTCCCCTCCCTTCAGCATGCAAAAACAAAACGATGTAGTTTATTTTCTGCCATTATTCTTTCCGTTGCAGTCCTCCCAAATAAAAAGCTGTACAGCCATCGAAGAGAGTTCCTGGTTTAGAATCTCACACCAGGGTACTTCTTTTGTTATATGCTCAGCTGAGTTTGCTTTTAATACCTAGATTGAGCTGTCTTTTTCATACAAGAGCAGTAATCATCCTTTCTTCAGTTTTTCACCTTTGCCTTGGTACTCTAGTTGTAGCACAACGAAGGGAGCCACATTGTTGTTGTTATTGTCTGATACCTAAAACTGGACACTTGCTCATTCATGGCAATTACCCAACAATTCTGTTAGTCTACTGTTCAGCTGCGTTCTTTAGAGAGCAGTTGCCCGTGTCTATCAATTTTTGCTGTTCTCTTCTGTTGCAGCTGAGGGAGTCCAGGTGGTCCAGCCTCTGAAGAACGTGGAAGTGATGGCTCCCTCCGAGGCTCAGTTTGAGTGTGAAATATCTGCCCCTCCAGACTTCACTCCCCAGTGGAGCCTCAATGGGGAGGAGCTGCAGCCTGGCTTGCAGGTGCAGATGGAGAGCGTGGGACACATCCACAAGCTGAGGTTCTGCAGGACTAGCCCTAACATGAGTGGGATGGTGAAGATTACCATTGGTAATGCCCGTTCCAAAGCCCATCTCACAGTGCGAGGTAAATATGTCGGATGGTTTGGTTGGATGGGTGCAGGGAATATGTGAAATTCATTAAACTCTCTTTTTTACGACCCTGTGATAAAACCTGGTGGTTAAGACTAGTCTGAGCCTTTGGAAATAACGTGAGAAATGGATCGTACCTTCTATGGATTGCATATTCCCATATCTACATACCTACTTGGCATACTGATCAAAGATGAAAGGGGTTATGTACTTGGCCCAACAAAAATGAATCCAGAGTGACAATCTCTAAATTTGACATTCCTAAGATTCCTCAACTAGCTAGGGTTGCTGGGAATTATAGTTCAGCAGCACCTGGGTAACTATTGATCCCTATACCTGGGAATATACCTTTGAGGGAAGGGGAAGCAGTTGAATGGTTCTTCAGTCATGATTTATTTGTCTGGACCATTGCTTTCTTTTCTTTTCTTTTTTGACAGAGTGCTAGCACCAGGAAAGTCCTGAATACAGTGGAGCAAAGTTTAAGCTTGGAAAGGCCAAGAAGCAAGTTGACAGTTGTATCAATAATCACACACAAAAAGACAAGTCATCTTGTCTTCTTCCTCTTCTGCATGACATGGGAAACATGTTCTGCTTTATTAAATGTTCTTAAGTCCTAATTTTGTTTAAAATGTTGCGCTTGGTTGGTGTGATGATCTGCTGGTCCTGGATCAATGGGGAAAAGACAAAGCACTGGAACTGTATTACCTCTAACTTTATATATTCTTCAACGGGTCTAATTTAGACCAACTGAATGGCCAACTACTTTACTTTCTTCTCCCCTCCCAATAAAACCCATTTCCCCTCACAGATGCATTGAACTCCTGGTATGTACTGCATTCTCCTCTTCTCCCACGTCCTTCATATAAAGCTGCAACAGGCTCAACAGAAAGCTGTACGCCTAGATATGTCCATTGTGCAGCATACCTTTACGTGTATTATCTGTATTTCTAAACCCCATTCCTTAAAAAAGATCTGAAATCGAAAGGAGAAAGGTATCCCTTTGGAGGAGAAACACAAGCGGATAATTTAAAGCAATTGTCTGGAGTGTGTTATGCCTTTACCAATAAAGTAGGGAAACTTCAAAAGAAAACTTCAGAACTTAATGATTGCCCTTTAGATATTGCTGCTAAAAATATTGTTTCAAGATGTGGGTTGACTTCATTCTCCTTCCAAATTAAGCCTTAACTCGTCTCCAGTTCTATCTGAATAGGTAAGTAACAGTGGCTTGGTTCTAGTTTGATGATGCTTTCAGCCCGTTCATTGATAGATGCACTACTCCTAAAAGGCTTTTTTTTTTTACTTGCGCAGCCACAGCCCGGCAGCGTTTGGCACATATACAAAAAGAGAGAGACAAAACAAAAGAGAGTGCAAAGTTTCTGGGGTGACAACAGTGATGACCGGTGACAGACACATGCAGTTTCTCAATGGAGAGAAGCCTTGCTGGATCCTTATCTGCCTCCCCTTAAAAAAAACATGGCTGATGAATCCTCCCCACCCCCTTCCAGTTTCCTTAAAGTTGGAGATATTGAGCAAGCCCTAGCCCCAGAGACAACAGTGGAAGTCCATTCTGAAAATGTGGGAGTTGCTGAAGTTTGTCCAGCAGTGCAGGGGAAATACCTTGGTCTCTGTTCTCCCCTGTTATGTGAGATTAGATAGGAAAACATGGTTTGGGCCTAAGGATTTTCTTTTCCCTATCCAACTTCTGGATCTGGCAAAACTCTCCAGCCCAACTCTTGGTCAATAATAAATTAATACAAATAACTCTCACAAGACTATGTACATGGGTTCCCCCTCTCCAGATCCATTACTACCTCACGCTCTTGCCAGAATCAGAAGTGAAGGGGGGGGGTATCCAAAAAGGGTTGTTGCCTGGATACCAGTCGCAAGTCCATAGCTTCTCCAGTGCCACCACACGCACACAGACTCACACTCACACTTGCATACTTCAACAGTGACAAAACCCAGCACAGGTTGCCAATCCCCACCCTCCTCCCCTTCCTTCCTTGAGTCACGCATTTAAACAGAATGCCAGGCACTGGTATGGGCAAGGGGCCCAGGGCCAGAGGGCCCCATTTCCCTGAGCTGGCTAGTTCCCACCAGACCGGAGTGAACTGAGTCATAAGCTTCCACTAACAGTCCACCATGGCACCTGCGCCCTGAAACAATCCTTCGGGTCAGTGCATGCAAAGACAGTCTGTAGGGCAAGGAAGTTGTGGCAAGGGAGCACACAACCATCCAACAGTCCTTCCTTTTGAGGCCTGCTCCAGAAGTGATGGGTAGGAAAAAGTTCTCATTGCTTATTGTGGGGGTTGTTCCGGATGAGTAATTCTTTCTTTAGTGGCCTCCCTCCCCCCCCCCAAACCCCCCCCCCCCCGCCCCCGCAAGTTCTGCATTTCACATTTCTGACCATGCGTGGATTACAGCCAGATCTCGCTTCAGCCCTTTGCCTCAAGCACCTGCTCAAACTCCTTCCTCACCTCTCGTTGCATGATGGCTTAGAAGCACTAGGAAGAATTCCACTTATGTTTAGCGGTTTGAGAGGTGTTGAAATACGTCTGCGCATAGGCTGCAAATGCCAGTGAAGAATGTTCTCAGTTCCTGGTGGTAACCAAGATGCTAGTTCTAGCCACATGGCTTGGCCCAGGTGACCACAGGAGACAGCACTTGTATTCAGGGGGAAGTGCTGGTCTATACTCTCATGGCAGGACCCGAGCCGGTGGTCAGGGGCACAGTGGAGCCACAGTCATAGTCTATGTCAATGGCAGCATGAGCGTTGGCCAGGAGGCTGTTGAGAGAGGAACCTGTCTGCCGTTCTCGGAAGCTCTGTATGTAGCTCTGAGAAAAGAAAAAAAAATATTTTTAAATGATTAAAAAAATAAAAATTCATACCCCCATTTCTCGCTGAAATTTTACCACATGGAAGAACTGGCTTTGCCGTCTTGTTCTTAAAGTGCTTTGGGTAAGTCCAGCTTCACCTCCTGATCTGCTTGGGAGAAGGCATGCATAATCTCTGAGCGATCACTAATTATTACAGTACTGCTATCGCCTTCTATAGCTGCCAGAGGTTTCACTCATTTTACCACTTTAAACATTGCAATTTGCTGTATTTAGGTATACCTAAAGCAGGGGTGTCAAACTCACGGCCCATGGGCCAGATATGTCATGGGCTGGTCACGCCCACCCCCAGTTTAGCGAAGGTGGAAAAAAAGTTGCGATACATCATGTGATGACACTGTCGTCGGAGTTTGACACCCCTGACCTAAAGCCAGCCTCGGTGGTACAGTGGTTAGAGTGCAGTACTGCAGGCTACTTCTGCTGACTATCAGCTGCCTGACAGTTCAAATCCCACCAGGCTCAAGGTTGACTCATCCTTCTGAGGTTGGTAAAATGAGGACCTGGATTGTTGGGGGCAATATGCTGACTCTGTAAACTGCTTAGAGAGGGCTATAAAGCACTACGAAGCGGTATACAAGTAAATACTATTGCTATTGCATCCCAGTAGCAATAGGGACAAAGTGGCTTGTCATAACATTTTTTCCCAGTTAGCACAGATTACAAAAGTGTCAACAAACATTGGGTGGCATAATTATGTATATCATTATTAGATGGAAAGCTCACTACATGTACTTTAATTTGGGGGAAGGAGGGGGAGGTTCCTTATGACAACACTATTGGTAAAAAGCAGACATTCCTCTATGGTTAAAAATAAATTTTGAAGACTTAGATGCTTTTCCATTCCTGTCTTCTAAATGCAACCACCAAAGCCACAATTGGAATGTATTTTCTCTGAACATCTTCTCTTCACATATGCAACTCCTTGATTTTGTGAAGGTATCAATTCATAGGCAGTCAATGGGTCTGGGATCTTTACATTTCTGTTTTTTTCCTTACATCTCAGAATAAACCCCAGCTAAATTGCCGGGGTGGGTGGGTGTGCAGGAAAGCAGTAGATGCAGAAACACATGCTGCAAGAAAAGGGTATCAAAAAGGGAAGAACATTGTGAAAATACTTCAAAAATAGCAAATGGGATGATGGAAATACAAGATGCCTGGAAGGAAAAGAACGAGAGACAAGTTCATTTCCTCTAGCAGCTCCTTCCACCCCACTAATGGCAATTTTCAGCTGAGATTCCTATGGCCCTACCGCTGTATAGGAAGACCTGGGCATTTACTCACTGGGGAGAGCACATCCCCATCAAATCGACGCACAGGATTAGGCTTGCGGCGGTAGGCCGGCTCAGGCGGATGGGCCTTATGTTGCAGGTGGGGATGAGGATGTGGCCGCTTTTTCTTCTTTTCTTTCCGCTCTTCCCGCTGCTTGATCCGCATCAACTGCACACGACGCTGCTGCCGACTGATAATCACTATGGGATAAGAAGAGCATGGCGTGAGACCCCACAGGACAAAGGGCTGGCCCCCAATGTGGGACTGCAGCCATTTTGAAACTTCTCTATTGTGGACTTCTTTTTTAAATGAAAAAAGCAGAGTTGACATCCAACAAAAATTAGGTTAAGTTGATGATTGACACAGATCCTGAGCAAGGACGGGCTTCAAAAATTTTAACAACGGGTTCTCTGCCCGGTTACTGGGTAGGCGTGGCCTAGTCGACCTCCTGCACCAGGGGGGGGGGGGGGGGGGGATGGACATTTTTGTCTTCCCCGGGCTCCAGAGACTTTCCTTGAGTCTCCAGGAGGACAAAAGCCTTCCCTGGGCTCCAGAGGCTCTCTGGAAGCTGGAAATGGGCCCATTTCTGGCTTTTCCGAACTCCCAGGAGGCCCGTTTTTCGGCCTCCTAAAGCCTCCACACACGCACTGCGCTTACCTGCAACCAAAACAGGCCATGTGGGGACTCCTAGGAGGGGTGGGATGGGCGGGGCCAGCCAGTAGTGGGATTTGGGGGTTCTTCAAACTGCACAGAATCTTAATTAGGGGTCTCTCATACCCTTGTGAACCCCCAGCAGCCCACCCCTGGTCCTGAGGCATTAGCTGACATGACTGAGGAAAGGGCTTTTATTCAGATAGTTGGGGACCAGGTACTTACTTGGCTTGGTGGGTCTCTCTCTTTCCAGGATCAGCCACTAAATGAGGAGACAGCCCCGCTAGCAAAAGCTCATCCTGGTTAGGTCTTCACACACCATAATCTCTAACCAATCTTAAGGTCTGCTGGGATTATATGGGGAATTTTTTAATGAATAAGTACATTTAAAATTCAGGGAGAGAAGGTATTAGGGATTTACATGGAGGGAACGGATAGAAAAAGTATTAAGCATATTCTGCTGTCACCAGCATCAGCTGCATTCCCCTAAAGTGGGTTTATAAAAAAGGATGACAAGTTGCAATTATAGCTACTGACAACGTAATAATGTAGCTTAGTTCTCAAAGGCAAATATATGGTCCTGAATAAAGTCTGAATAAAAGTTTTAAAATTGTAATTGATTAATTACTGTAATTAATCAGTTAAGCTTTAATCATATATTAAAGTTTCTTCCAAATTAATTGTTGGGTACTTATGTTAGGAGGACTCATGCATATTTCAGAGAAAGGGAAAGTAAAAATGGCATCTCTTCCATTTGATGCTAATAGAAACACACATATTGCCTTTCAGGATGAAATCAGTGTGACTTTCTTCTAACAATAACAACCCTAGGCCACTGACACTGAGAGCATTCGGTTGACATTCATGTCAATATGCTTTTAAAGTTAAGATTTTACATAAATCATATGGTCACAAATGTATTTTTCAAACTATATTGGTACAGACATGTTGCCATATCAGGGAACACGCCATAGTTCCAATCTTATTTTGATCTTCAATTTATAGTTTTGCCTTTAATTTCAATGCTCCAGGTAGCTGGAAACAATTAAATGTAACATTACAAATGAAGGCAAAATTTTAAATTTAACATTGTAAAAGAATACAATCAATGGCATTAAAATCATTCCTCAAATAGTTAACAATTAAAACTTAGTGAAAGATGCATTTTTATCCACTCCCTAAATACTGAGAGACTGGGAGTCACTTAACTTATAAAGGAACATTCTGTTTAGCTCAAGAGCCACACGATACAAGGCCCTTTTATGCATGCTCAACAGTACAGTCCAAGCACTAGGGGCATCTTCAGAAGAGCCTCAGGAGGTCTAAGACAGTGTGCAGGTTCATATCAGGAAAAGCAGATATTCAAGTCCTAAGTCATTTTAGGACTTCAAAGGGCCACAGTAATATTTTAACTCATACCCATCGGTAACCGATAGCACACAAACACACACACACACAGACACACACATGAAGTGCAGATCTTTCCATACAGGCATATACAATAAGATCCATTCCTTGCACAGCTGAGTAGTATTTGCTGTGGTATGTGCCACCCATTGCAATTTATGGACACTTTCAATGGCAATCCCAATAAAATGCATTGCATAACTAAGTTGGGTTGAAACCAAGGGATGAATGATTTAGTCCAACTATCTCCAGAAGGGCAGCAGTTGTTGCACTGGTATGCAAACATACCTTCACTACAATCACATCCAGTGGCACATGAGGGATAAAAAGCACCCAGCTGTAAACTTGTTCTTTCTGAAGATGTGCAACGCTGCCCAGAATAAGCTTCGCCTCAATCCTAAATTCCTCTTTGTGGAACGCCACAGGTCAATACGATAACCTTAATGTCAAGTAGAAATCCCCCAATATCAGCTACTGGAGACATTTCAACAGTAAATATTGGCACTACAAAACAGTGCCCAACTCTTTCCGTTGGTCTGGAAGAATAGTGTTGTTTATGGCGTCAAAAGCTAAAAGGTCTAAGTGAGAACTGGCAGGATCACGGTCCCCCAAATATTTTCTGGCACTTTTCATGTAACAGCATGGTATTTTATTTCACCTTTCGGCTGTAGAATCATATCTTCTCACTCCTTAAAGTATTTGTTTCATTTCGACAGCTTTAGCTGATTTTGCTGTATATAATTCACTGGTTAATTTCATTTAATCTACACCAGACAATTCAGTGTCCTCTCGATGATTACAGTCTCCATAATGCGACCCTCTGGCCAAAGAACTTTTTAAAGTTCTTTTAAAAACTTTTGTTTTTAAAAGAAGGAACAGATCAAGTATTGATAGTAAAGCAACACAATAATATTACACTTTTATGGACCAACAGCAGGTTTGGGCAGCCTGTGAATCACATGAGACACCCACTCTTTGCAATTCATCAGTAGCCTTAAATCATACTATCAATATTTAGTAACAGTATCACATGATTTTTTTAAATATAAAAGTAAAGCTGAAAATAAGAGCAGGGGTCTAGTTTTGGTCTTTGTTGGCATTTGCAGAATTAAGGATGGGAATGGGAGCAAAAGATCTCTGAAAAGCAAAGCACTCTCAGCCCCATAGTTTTATCTTGAAACATGGCTGCAATCAGTTCCAAAATGGTGATCTGCTAAGTATCTAAGTAGACCAGGAGAGATAGGAACAATTTGCCTTCCTGAGGTGTTTCACTATTATTCCCACCCTTTATCAGTCAGGGGTGTGTTGTAACTACATGATTGAAAATCTGTAAAATACACGTAAAAAGGGTGGAGCTCTCATCATATGGTTGCAGCTGCTATTTTGACATTTTGGATGCCCCTCATAGTTGCCCTGTCATCATTAGATGCCCCCCAGAAGATCAGGGAAATGGTGTTGTGCCCTCCTAACCACTCGAACTCCACTCACGCCTGACCTAGGAGAACAGCTTTCCACATTCAGGAACTTGAAATAATTTAACTCCCCAGAAAGCAATGGGGGACAGTGACAAATCTGCAAAAGACAAAAACTGGAATAAGGAAAAATTGCTATGTAATTTCACAGAAGCTTCATTATGCTGTAATGAAGAACGCGGCCGAAAAGAGAAAAACGTGATGTATTTGAGAAGAGTCACAGGAAGCACAAATGGAGAGACGGCCCTCCAAACACTAAGTAAAAATACAAGAGAATCCTCTGGTTCTCTTCTATTCTTTTGCGATCTTGGAACAAGTCCTTCAGGTATGAAACGCAATGGGCCACACACCTGAAAGAAGCAGTGCTTGGGCTCTATCAGAGCCACTTCTTTGACAAAAAAGGATGACAAGCAATTCTCTTTTTTTGCCTTGGGCAAAGGATAACTTTAATAAAAAGAAGTGCCAGCCACTGTTATCAGGAAGTCTATGCCCAATCACCTTCTGCCACATTAAACCCAGTCCTACTGTTTATGATATACAGTGAGCAGAACCCCACCCACCAGAAAGCGTTGACCTTTTACAGAAACATTGGTACGATACCAGAATGATCCAAGACTCATTGCCCAAATTAGCTGCTCTAATGTTCACACTTTAAAACTCAAAGAAAGTGGCCTCCCTGAATCATATCATCAAAAGTTAGGCAGGGCTACCTGTTTCCATCCTGCTGCTTTTTGTGATGCCAACTGTGACCCTAGCAATGGTTGGAGGAGTAGGATATGGCCTTAAAACTGGAAAAGTTATCCATTCTAAATGTGGGTCTTAGTGTATGAGGGAGAACCCAATAAATTGCTGTTGCTAAATAAACCATAGTTAATCAAGTACAATCTGCAAGACCAGTCACTACAAGGCAAATCACTCATAAATCTAATTTAACCTGAACTCTGATTTGCTTGCTTTCATTCATCTTGCTCCCCATCCCATGAGACCACACTCACCTTCAGTGTGTGAGTATCCTTCAGCTGTGACTTTCCATTGCACCAAGACACCCAAAAATGCCAGGACAGGCCAAGTACCCAGGATGACCCAGCTGTACCAGCAGATGGGCCGGGCAGGTGCCACTTTGACACGCTCATAAACATACTGCAGCAGCAAAAAGAGCTCAACAAAGTAGTCAGCAGTGGCGGTCATGACAGCACTACCGAAGACAGCAGTCGACAATGTGGTGAAGAGGCGCTGCCATTGTAGGGTGAGGACAGCACACAGCATGCCCACCCCCAGCAATAAGCCAATGGGAATCCAGACAGTAGGTGGGTGGTAGAACTGCTCCATCACTACCAGTGTAGCCACAGCCAGTAGTAGCCCCAGCAGCAGCCCAACCATGAAGAGCCCGACACTGCGTACCAGCATGGTGACTAGCCCGCAGAGCACGCCAATGCCCAGGCCAATGCCCACAGAGGCCTCCACGCTTAGCTGAGTGTCCAGCACCCGCTCTTTGTAGCACAACATGAAGATGATTACTGAACCAAACATCAGCCCAGTCAGGAACATCACTGCTTTGAAGCATCGGTATCCTAAGGAAAAAATGAAAGGAGAGTCATAAGGGGGATAGGATAGGTTGCCCAACTGTTTGCTCAGAATGATTCCTATTCCATTTAGAGACCTGTGTTTGTGAGCATTTGTCCATGTGTATGACAGTTCGCATGCTCTCTTTTTACACATGCACTTTTTAAAATATATTACTAAGGGATATTTGGGTTATGTTTTTTTTTAAAAAAAGGACTTTATATGCTTCACTTGAACATTTCAGATCTTCTGTAATGTGTAATTGGAAGCATAGAGCTTTCATCTGAATGTTTCCTTCTAGGGCTTTTTTACATTTATCCGGGGACTCAGTCATAGAGTTTGCTATAGTTAGGAATGAAGCCACAGGAGGATATTGGACAGAGCAGTTCAGAAACCTGAGTTTCATTACATTACTACTAAACATACATTGGTTATGTTCATGCAACAGTGCTGAACCAGATGCCTTGACCTTCAGTCAAGAGGCTATTTTATATTTCATTTTATTCCATTTACATGGCCACCGATCTCAAACAAGTGATACTGGGTGACTAACAATTAAAAAGAGAAAAAAAATACAAGAGACACAAAATAAATGCATAATCGATAGCCAAGATAAAAACAATAGCAACTCTCAATACAGCCACCTCATCAGCTCTGACCACATCTGTGAACACAGCCTGTGAACATTTTGGTGTGCAGGTAGCCACAACCCAAAAATGGATGAATATGTCACGCACGCCCCAGTTTTTTTTTTTTGTTTTTTTTGGTTAAGTTCTACTGGATGTATCAAAGGAGGCTGTCCCTTTCTTCCTCACTTCCTGCGTTTCAGGTGTGTGGGGACTTTCCTACCTCTCCATACTTTATAGCCACAGAGCATGTGAAGAGTTTCAATGACAGAGAGACTAGGATTAACTAAGTGTGAATTAGAGAGCTGACACAACACATTTGCTCCTTCCCCTGTGATCAATTATGTTTGTCATGCTGTACATAAGTTAATAAGACTTGTGACTGGCTGTAAGTGGGATTGCCCATTAAAATGTCCCAATAAGACAATGAAATAATACATTTGTCTTGAATCCACACGTTGTACTTTTAATTGTCCTTTATAGATCTGGAGTAATCTACAAGCCATCCCTCCCCACAACAACACACTCACCAAAGAAGCAATAGATGATCCCAAAGAGGCAGCACATGGCACACACAACTGAGGGCACTACTTGATAGTGCCTCTCAATCTCCTGATCACAACTATGTGTCCGGTCTTGGTCTGGTTCATGTGGAAGCAGTGGGAAACGCAGAGACTGTACAGTTGACGTCATGGCTCTTCAAGGCTTCTGTCAGGCTCCCTTCTCCCTCCCAGTCACTTGTAGAAGATACTGCCTCATGACTTAATTTCCATCTGTTGAGAAAGAATAGGAAAGGAATGGTGAACCTCAGCTTCTTGGAAGCCCAGCGTGGTACAATTGATAATGCAACCTACCATCGGCTACCACATCTTCACAGGCTACATCTCTGAAGGAAGAACCAGCAACTCCCTACAGACAGGGCTATTCTGCTAGAATTTCAAAGGGACTTAAGGAACTCCCCCCTCAGTCATCAGATCATCACTCCCACATAACTCCTGATTCTCTCTTCAGGCAGGAGATTTTCACAGCTCTGCTGGAAGCTGGCATCTTTCCTTATGCAATGCATGCATGTCCTGCCACTGAGTTAAAACAACCCCTTTTGTAATGTCTGCAAGAAGCAACTAAGAATCAGAAATAAATAAATGACATTAAGAATTAGGAACACCCACCCGCTCCTAGAACTTGAGCCCAGTCCAGCAAATATGACGGTCAAGCAGAAGCAGCTCTCTAGAATGTTGGCAAGACGTTAAAGGCTCCAAACAGGCCAGAGAATTAACTCCAAGCTATTTCTATTTTTGTGGTTATTCAGAAACTGGCAGATCCTCCCCTCTTATAAGAACCTTGCAAAGCCTACTGGAAATTGTTTTATATCGTATTCCATGACAGAACAGCTCAGAGCAATTCTGGAAGAAGGGAGAGCTGAATAGGAATGGGACAAGAAGTTTCCAAAATCGGAGGGGGTGGGGGAGTGGCTATAAAGAGAACCACCACCATATGGTCTCTATAGCAACAAAGCTAAGAACAGATGATACTTTTAACAAGATTCCCCCCACACACATACTTCCAACCCCCAGTCTCTGGCTTAAAGAACTGAAGGGGTAAGGGAGTGAGTCATCAAAGGGGGGTGTAGCAGTTCAGAAAAAGCATCTGTCAAAGGCCGACTTGCATTAACCCTATCTTGGTGTGCATGGGCTGCTTAAATCTCAAGCTAAGAATCTTAGGCGGTCTCTTCGCCTATTTGTGTTTACTGTTTGCCACAAGATAAGAACAATAACGATAGGTGGCCCAAAGGACAAGAAAAATAAAAGATAAGTGGCTCAGGGTTAAAACCAGACCATGCAACAGCCCACTTCCTGCCCCGTCTGGACGGGCTATAGGCTGCAAGGCAAGCAGCAAAGCATGGCTTTGTTAACCATTTCCTGCTTGTGAAGAATTTGCTAATCAACCAGGATATAAGCTGAAGCAGCACACAAGCCCTCCCTACTCCAGCCTTCGGCAACTGAAAGGATCAAATCCTGAATCAACAATGCATCTCAACCTCCTTCCACATCCACCCACCGCCCACATGGACACATAGGAATCCTTCTGCAGCAAAGCAATCTGTTGTTAGTATGGAGAGGGAGGAGCATTGAAGGTGGTATATCGCTCACATGCACACAAAGAGGTCAGCAGCCCTAGGAAAGCAGAGGCTCCTTCCTATCTTTCTCCTACACTCCCTCCCCCTACCCCATCCGCTGCTTTTGTTCACTCCCTCCCTCCCCACAGCCAATGAAAACCAGGGCTAAAACTAGGACCTCTTCAGATTGGTGTGCTCTCTGTTGCTAAGGCAGGCAAGGCATTTTCTGATTGGTTGCTGTGAAATGACCAACTGACTGCTTTCCCCCCTTTTCTTTCCCAGGGTTGTGCTTTTTTTTGTTTTGTTTTTTTGCTTTGTTTCAAAAGCTCATCATCATCTGGCAAGAATTTGCAGATAATGGCTTACGAAATTATGAAATCAGCCTTCTCTAATAGAGTATTTGCTGGGTACATGGCTAGGAATTCTGGGAGTTGTAGCCCAACACATTGTACCTGGTACCTGGAGAGCACCACATTGGGCACAGCTGGATGAAACAGTTATCGTCCTTCTTCCTAGCTTTCAGGGTGACCAATATGTCCCTCTGCAGTTTTGGGGAGACTGAAACCCCCGATATCTTAAAACACTGGCTAGCATGGGACCTGAAGTTCAGCATCATCAGGTGGGCTACGCAATGCCATTCCTGCCATGTGTAATTGCTACCTGAGCTACCCGCCCTTATGATCAGCAGCCCAGGGAATCGTGTCCAACAATGACCTGGTTACAGTGGCAGCATTTTTTTTTTAACTGGGAAGGTAACATCAAAGCTCCTGGAAAGAAAAAGAAAAATCTTTGAATATCATATTTTATTTTTATTTAGAGATAGAAATGGGAAACTGTCCGATAGCCAGCTACCTACCACATAATTAAGGATAATGAAGGTGATCTAGGAATTCTGTGTGAAGATCATGTCAGATCTGCTTAGTTCAAAGATAATGCTACCAAATGCCTAATGCTGCTTAATTTAAGGAACGTCTTCCTTGGTACGTTATCAACAGAAAGCTCTATCTGTCCACTAATATTTGTTATGGGCACTGCTTATAAAGGAATCTGTCTAGAAATAAACCAGGTTTTTCAATTGTGACCCCTACTTAATGGAATATCTTCCCATCAAGATGCAAACGTTATCTTCTCCAAGTAATTTTAAGAGAAATCTTAAAATTGTAATGTAGATATACAGTGGACAAACTCCCTTATATTTCTGGAAGCTGTGCTGTGAAAATACATGTGAGCAGTGAAAAAAATGGAAGGGCAGAAAAAGGTCAGCTGGATTAGATCAACAGTCTATTGAATCCTGCAATCTGTTCTTACAGTGGCCAACTAAATGCCACTAAATCAAAGCAGGACAAGCAGGACATAAAAGCAATAGCTCAGGCCCGTGCTTCAACCTTAATATTTCTTATTCATAAATACACTATGTCTGAAAATTGCAAGTTGGCTTGAGAATAGCAGAATCAGAAGATCTAGTGCACATCCAAAGTTTATGCCAGGATCCCATGTTGAACTTCTTAACAAAAGAAGGGGCTTGTGTCCTGTTCTTATGAATTTTTATATACCAAACACACTGGATCCAGCAGGGCCTAATTCCAAACAAGCGTGCACACAATACAGAATGAATAAATATTATTTGCTACCATAAAGGTTCCACAGAGGAAGCCCTAATAAAATAGGACGTTAGATTACACAAAATTTCAAAATCTGAGAATTTTCATCATTTAATTGTAGTAGAACCTGCCTTACTTTTTACATTAACAAGATGTGGGTCCAATAAAAACAAATCACTGGCTCTTGTTGATATAATTGAAAACTACACCAGTTCCCTGACATAGATAATTACACTCTTGTTCTATAAATAATCACACTCCTGCTCCATAATCAACATTTGGAATCCTGCCTGCATTGGTCTAACCCAAAATGTGAGGAATTGAGTCCCAAATAGAATACTGTGTTTTCTAGTCAACTGCTAATCTGTTTTTCCTCCTCATAGAACAGCTTTTCTAATTCTTCTCATACCCTGGTAGCTAAGTTTCCTTTTCCTATAGAGTACTGTTGCCAAGGGAAGAACCTACCTCACAGGCATGTTGTGAGGAAATGGGAGGAGGAAAGAATGTTAGGTATGTTTGCTGCCTTGAATTATTTATAAAATATGGGTAAGATATAAATGAATAAATCCATAAATAAATAAAGTAGCTCACAACAAAATGCGGGTCCTAAAACTAGGTTTTGCAGATTTATAATATCTGGGCTGCAAAGCTGTTCCCCCCCCCTCCCAAAATCCAGGCAACCACTAGATGGCAGCAAAGCAACACATAAAACTGCATGACTTTGCTGCCATCTAGCTGCAGAAAAGTCATGCAGTTTTATGTGTTGCTTTGCTCCCATCTCGTGGTTGCCTGGATTTTTGAAACTCAGGTTGTGATAGTCCCAGTTTCTAGTATGATCACTGACACTTGCTGTACAGAAGAACTCTTGATCCATACCATCTCGTATGTATACGTTAAACAAACAAGATGCTGCTCCTGATCCCATCCTTCACTGGGAACAAGGAAATTTACAACTTAATACTTGTTAGTATTTAGTGTATTTAATACTTGTTAGTATTTAATGTATTTAATAGCCACCAAGGCAACTGGACAGGGGATGCATGACTGACTGGCTAACTGTGCTATGTGTTCCAGGCCAGCCAGTTCAGTTTCTTTCCTGGAATTGATTGAGTCCCAATTAATCTTCCTCTGCAGTGATTGATGATTCAAGTTCCCACTTTCCCACAGGCTCCTTCATAAACAATATTCATCCCAGGAAACTTCGCAGTTACAAACAGCAGTGAAGCTGATCCTTCCTTCCAAAATACATGAAGTCAGGAAGGAAAGAGCAGAAAGGAAGACTGTCTCCGTACTAATTTCTGGGAATCCATCTCAGCAAGATTTGAGTAGCTCTGCAAACCAGTCTTTTCAAAAAGTCACGGCAGTCAATACTGCAACCCCAAAGTACATGCAAGGGCTGCCATAATGCAACTCAAGTACTTCAGACGAGGTTTTAGGTATGGGACTTGGTAGGAGTTGGACTGATGCTGTGAAAGTGTCATTTGTGCAACCTAGTCCTAATGGAAGTAGTTTCTTCAAGGCTCAAACCTATGGCCCCAAACTATTTGTGTCTTAATAAACAGTGGCAGCACATACCTTGTTAAGCTCTGCAAATGTTTCCTGAAAGTTCATAAGTTCTGTCTATGAGGAAACAAATCATCTTCTTTTTCTTCCCTCTGGCATTAATCTGGCAGCTTGCTGAAAAGCTCCTCCTGAAATAATCCTATTAACCTGGGAGCAACCCGGGGTAGTGGTACCATGAGGAGCAGCTGCAGCATGGGGGCCTGTGTGCCAGATGCTCTGCAAGCAAGGAGACCCCATAGCTCTGTTTTATGCTATAACAAAACATTGCTGTGTTGCTAGAGAGGCAGCAAAGAACATGTTTGTTTGAAAAGGAAAACAGAAGCTTGAATGTTTTAGCACTAATTTTGTCCCTGGCATTTAATTCAGTCCCTCCTTGCATGAATGATAAGCAAGCTATAAGTACCATGCTTATGGTACCATATCCATATAAATGCACACATTACACAATGTGGAGACTATGGCCACAGGCTACAGCAGTCCCTGTCACTTGGAGGCTTTTTTTGTCCCCAAATGATTAGTTCAGGATTACCTCATTAAGTAGTTCTCTGTGGCTAATTTCTCATTATCCTATAGCTAATGAGTCTAGTGGCTGGGGGGGGAGGGTAGCTTCAAAGATAGAAGTAACTTCATCAAAATATAAATTTATTACTTTGGAAGACAAGATCTTCACAACTGAATCCATATTGCTCTGTTCCATGCAAACCTCATCCTAAAGTTTTTCAAATGGTAGGACCCCTTCAACTGACCTGTTCCACTCATCATTTAGCTTCAAAAGCAACCTGGTACATCCCATTTTATAGCAAAATCATACACCCCCTTCCACCCCAAACATAAAACTCCCATATATTTTTAGAAAGAATGTTTAATATACCAAACCTGTCTATTGAACATTTAGAAGTCATACCTGTGACAGCCCCCATGCTGACTACTGTGTATCCAATTTAATCTACTTGGATTTAAACAGCAGACACAGTTGTGCAAACCTTCTTTCCCTTCTGTGGGAAATAGCATTTCATTGAAACAACAGAGAACCTGCTGGCAGCTTTTAAAATAACATCTCTATTATAACACAACCTTGTAGATCAGAGTCCACTGTATCAGATGCACAAAGTTTTTTTATCATAACTGGAGATATATAGAAATGCATATGTAGTGCTAGATTTGAACATTATAAAGTTGTCATTGGGAGCTAAATCTGTCTGTCTGTCTGTCTGTCTGTCTGTCTATCTATCTATCTATCTATCTATCTATCTATCTATCTATCTATCTATCTATCTA